AGTAATGAAGGCATTTTTTATACATAATGAAATTTGGTAGTAAAATAAATTAGAATTACCAATTGACAAAGGTTCATCTGTTGATCATTAGCTTTTATTGTTGCTGTATCACATGCGATATGCTCATGGCCATAGATGACGCGGATGATAAATCCGATTGATACCATTAATTGGCAGAAAGCTAACAAAAATATCGGTCTTTCCGGATATTGAAAGCGTTCTGTCTCTATCAAAAATGTTAACACTGTGAATGCTGATAGTATGAAACAGGTTCCGGACCTGAAATATTCCATGATATATACCATTTCATGATTATTTGTAAAATCATAATTTGGATGTGTTGTTATTATGAAAATGATAGAGATGATACGGTTGGTTGTAACAGCGATGATTGATTTTATTCATATTAACGATATAAACATAAAATTATCTTTTGTTTATAACTGCTATCGTTCATTCTACGTTGTAATTTTGGAGGAAATAGCAGATATAAATCATTTATACCACGTAGTAATCCATGCTGTCAGAAATCTTTGATCCTTGACACTCTGTTCCGGACTGTGACACGGATAGAGACATCCGGAAATATTAGCAACAGTGGACGGACTGTCCAAAACACTGAAGAACGGTCTGCTGCATCGGCATTTACACTCGCCCTCAATTGTGTTGATACCAATGACGGGATAATTTGGACGATGATGTCGTATGGAGGAAGTAATTCCAGGCTGAAGATTAATCGATAAAGTTGAAAATTTATTAAATTAAAATATGAAGTGTATAGCGTAAGGTAAGAAATTTTTTGAAGTTTAGATTTTAACAAATTTAAATGGAAAAAAAAAATTGCCAATTAAAGGAATGAAAAAAATTTTCAAATTTTTTATGTAATCTAAGTTGCAGATTTGATCTTTGACCTTACAGAGAGTCTTTGCAGTTAAAAATTGGTGTTTTCCTTAGAAAAGATATAATATATTTATAGCAATTTGGTTGATAAATTATTCTATGATTTGGTTAATAATAATCAATTGGTAAAATGATATTTTGAGCAGAGGAAAGTAATTTGATATTCATTTCAACTTCTTCGAACCAGAAACTCTTCTCAGTCTTATCACTTACATCCGTTGAATCGAAAATGCTCGGATCGGGCGTATCCGGCGGTGCAGCACAGATATTTCCCGTCCTCTGCTGCTCACTTATCCTTGGCAATTGCTCACAGCTTAACGTTATAGGCCATTTGAAACCGTATTGCTGCATCAATGGACTACACCGCTTCTTCGCTTCCAGACATACCTGAGAGAAGTTATCACTTTGATAAATTCAATCAGCTTATCATTCATATACAATTGCTTTTAGAACAAAACTATAATTAATAATTTAATTCAGTTGTAAAATGAATATTTACGTCTGGAAATGTTGAAATTTGCGATGATTAATTAACTTCAATGCAAAAATATGCAATTTCTGATCTGTTTGAAGTGATAATAATTTTAAAACAAATTAAGACAATCAGAATTTGAAATAATGTCTTTTAACAGTTTAAACAAAAATGATGAAATCTTTTTTAAAAAAAGTTTTTTCTAATTAAATCAATCGTAAGTAATTCTCGTTAAAGAAATGTTTGCAGCGAAAAAAACTTACTTCCATGCAAGGCATCACCATTTTTTCGTAATTATCTTGGCATATTGGCGTATACATTGCACAGAGAAAAAATTTAAGATGTTTGTAGCAACCGACCTGTAATGATTGAATTAAAATTTCCATCTTTATTTCTCAATTTTTTTTAAATCGGAAGTTTAACTTAAATTTTCAGAAATGAAATGGCTAAAAATTTGTCATCAAATTGTATGATTTCTGTTGTTAATATCAATATAACAATAATACGGAATATTTCCAAAGATAACTGATATCATAGAAAATAATTCCTGTGAATGATTATAAGAAAAAAAAGCTTATAGAAAAAAAAGCTTATAGGGTAAAATAAATTAGAATAGTTGACCTCAACAAGGGGATAAAATTGATGCACTTCAAGGCCAGCTTCTTCCTGCTTCTCATGGCCATAACTGTTTGGATACCTTGTCATATTATAGCCAATGCCTAAATATTCATTTTTAATGAGAAAATAGTTACATAGTTGATATTAGCAGCGAAAAAAGGGATAAATTCAAATTTAAAATAGGAGTTTAAAGAAAAATAAAAAATTTTAACTACCATAATTTCTACAGTAAAGTATCTTACTACACAAAAGCATCTTAATTTGATTAAAACAAGATTAGAATTATCTATCCATAAATTTCAAATTTCACATTTAATAATTACCTTTGCAAAGAGGTATTGTAATGATTTCACATCTTTGCGTTCCATCAACAATTTGAAGTTGAATTGATAATATTATAAATGTCGTCAAGCAGTAATGTATTTTCATCATTTTTAATTTAGGGATGAAATTAAAAAAAGACCAGTAGTTCGTTATTTGGTGAAATTTCTACCCCGCATTATCTGCTCATACTATTGTACACGGCGTTAACAACAATGATACAATATAGGTAGCAGTAGCAGTAGCAGTAGTAATAGTGGGAAGATTTAACTTCTCGAAACCGTCTTACAAATCTCTGAAAAGTATAGTGAAACAGGTAATGGTAAAGAGAAAGGAAAAAAATTCGAATTTCCCAAAACGAAGTAAAGGATGAAATATAAATTGCAAGTGAAATAGCAGACAGCGAAAAAGAGTAATCCTAAAAAAAATTTTTGAAAACAGTAAAAATTAGCGATGGATAATAACGACTTAATAGCATTTATCTTCTAATCAATTTGATCCAAGTAAATTAATTATTTCCACTTGCAAAAATTCATATTGAAAACTTAATTGGAAAATGGCAAGATGATGAAAATTCTGTAAACTCTATCGAATGAGACAAAAAAAAGGAAAAAGTGGAGGAAAAAATTGAAAGTGAATAATGCTTTTAAGATGATGATGACCTTATATGCCTGAGAGTACTTGGATTATTAAATCTTCCGCGCAAAGTAATAGAGTAAAAGCAATGATTTTTTGCATAAATATTTTAAGAATAGTAGAACGAAAATTACTCGATGTTTATCATTATTATTAAGTTTATTAGAGAATGCTCATATTTTGCTTTCGAGTATATTAAAAATTCTATGAATATTTGAAAAATTATTTCAAGATACATGATGAATTTTAACGAAATGGTAAAATTTTATCAGGATTTTAATTTTATGTAAAATTTTACAACAGACTGTTTTCTCATAATTCTGGAATTTTTTTCCACAAGAATTTTATTAATTCTAATTTTTAAAATACAGGAAAATGATTATTTCAGGAATGGTGGAACAATCATAACTTCGAGTAATTATTCATGATTTCAGGAAATGTTGTGAAAATATCAAAAATTAAAATAATTAAAGAGTGATAAAATTTTTTCTCAATTCCGCTTATTGAAGATAAGAAATGAAAAAAAAAATAATTTGCTGATTGAACAATTTGCAAAATTAATCGTTTTTCAAATTTACTATTTTTTTGAGTAATTTTACGAATAGTGCACTCTAGATTTTTTACTCCCATCAAATTTTAAAAAATTTCGAACACATAATTGAGACATTAAACAGTTTAAAATTGTATGATTTATGAATAAATATGTCAATTAAAAAATAGAGAGAAATAACTGATTGAAATGAAAAGTTTGAAGAGAACTAAATAGCCGGAACTAAAATTAATACTCTTCCGATAATGGAAAGGCATTTTATGTTTACATTATACAGATTGAAGCTAACTACTAAAGTAGGGCTTATTGCGCACCAAAAATCTTACCGATGGAAGAAAAGCGAATCCATTTTAAATTTTCTAGCTATTTAAAGTTTAAGCATTTTTATATATTTAAAGAAAAGAAAAGGATTGCTAAAATTTTAATTCATTTAATACAAATTGCAGTAAATGATAAAATTAAACCATATGTGACAACAATCTTCCATCATCTTTTCCACTAATCAGGTGAGCAACTGTGCTTGGCGCCAAATGATGGGAAGAACATTTGAACATTTGAAATAATTAGCAACCTCAATAGAATATAAAGCTCAAATTACTTGTATTTCTGTATTTCTGCAAACAATGCTCACAAATCGTACAAAAATAGCAGCAATTAGAGAGGGAGGGAAGAGAGATGGTGGTGACATCCGATTCTGTCCAGAATTGAGAGAATGTCCACCACAACATAATCGCTCATTGTTTTCTTTGACCTCTGAAACAGCATGTGATCATCATGAATGTAAAGTAAGCGGAACTGACCAAAATGGTTAGCTGAAAAAAGAAAGTTATTAGATAGGAAAAATTGATGAGGAATGACGAATTTCTTTTCCATCATTTCTTTGATTACCTACCGAAATTTCCATTAGAGTTAAGGGATGAGAAAAAAAAGAAAACTTTACAGCATGCCTATTTTCTCCTCACTTAGAAATTCATTCAAAATGTACTGAAGAAAACTGCGAATATTTTCTTTTTTACTGTAATAAAATGAGCTTTAAAGTTTTCAAAAAAAAAAAGTTCGCTGCTATCTTCAGAGGATGAAATTAAAAAAAGATTTTTTAAGTAATTACAAAAAAATCAGATTCTAAAGTCTGAATATACATTTGAAATAAAATAAGTAGTAATTACAAATGGCATGGCCATAATGATAATTGACATGGCTAGTTCCTTACGTGAATAATGCATGCACGATGCATTGATTTATGCATCAATGTTTAATTAACATTTAAATATTTATTGGGTAATTTTTTGAAAAGTTGACAGAAAATATATGTACTTTGTAAATGTAAATTTATTTCACTCGTTATATCAATTAATAAAATGATTGGTTATTCGAAGAGAAATCTATTTGTAAATAAGTATGAGTAAAAAATAAATTGAAATAAATAAAAACAAAAATTGCGCAAGATTACATAACTTATTTATAAGATTACTGTGTAAGTCGATGGAAAAAATGTAAAAGTTGTAACTTGATTTAATGACCATTTCAAGTAATGAATCAAAAATTCGCACATCTTTTCCAATTTAAATTTGCGCCTTTATAGCTCGTCGTAAGATTTTTCATAAGATTTTCTATTCCATTTATTCTTTTCGTACTTTTTTTTAATCAATTTAATTCAGTATAAAATTTCAATCGGTAGATTACAACAGAATATTGCAATTTTGGCAAAATGAAAGAAAAATCAACATGAAAAATGAAGAATTTAGAAAAAAAAGAAAAAAAAGAAAAAATTGACTTCCAATAAAAGTTGAGATTTAAAAAAAATTTCAGTTCTGAAGTTTGAAGTTTTTGAAATTTGATTTTAATTTAAGTTGTATGATTATTGAAGAATTTTTTTCCTAAAACTTCAAATCTGAAATTATTAATGAAAAATTTATATAGTGAAAATTTATGCAAAATGAGAAAGAAAGAATTGAATGATGTGCCAAAAATTGAATGAAAAAAGAGAGGATGAGGAACAGTTTGGAAAAAGAGATGGAAAATGATGATAGGATGGGAAGAAAAGCTGATTATAATGATAATAATGCGTGCCATTTTTTTTTTTTTTTGGAATGGATAGATGAAAAATAAATTTTACGTATAAGCAATTCATTCATTCAGAAATAAATATAATTGAATTGAATTGGAAATTGTTTTTTAGTGATAGGAATTAACTTCTGATTAAGTTTAATGAGATACTTTTGAATGGATGCACTTTATAAGTGATAACAAATGTTATTTTACCATTATCAGTAACAAATTTCCGGTTTGTCATTTAATCTCGATTATCAATCACATCATAGAATTTTGCATTTATAAATATAAAGGCTTATGGTCAGTATTCTTTCCATTTCGCAAGTGAAACAAACAGAAATCTTTTTTCCAATAGAAAATTTGAAATCTCAGAAGTTTAAAAAGGATTACTTTTTCTCTTTTCCTTTCCATTCCTCGATATTTCAATCTAAAATAGCAATTTCATAAGCTAAATTTGATTGAAAAAATGAAATAAAACATGAGAAAAATGTGAGATTTTGTTTTATACAACAAGCAAAAAAAATGAAGCAAATAATAATTGTAAAATTAATTAGTGGATGAGATTGCACTTCGAAAGAAAGGTCAAAGATGGAATGGGAAGGAAAGGGAAAATGGAGCGGAGAGAATAAGTTTGAAGAGTTGAGCGCAAATCTGTTTAAGGTAATGAAGAGGTAGGTGAGGTATATCAGCGCCGGATATTGAAATAAGACAGATATTTGAGAGGGGGAAGAGAGGGGAGGATTGATTTAAAGTGTGATATTTGTTTGAGTGGGTAAGGGAGCAGTTGTTATTATGAGAGGATAAGCATAGAAAGTGGACAAAGGAGGATAGATGGACGGTGGTCAGGTAGGTGTCCATCACACAAACATACATTCTGTTTATATGTCCAAATCATGTCATCTACGGCTCTGCCATTCTCAACTATTACACGGTGTCAACGTAATGAAGTAACGGGGAGCAAAGATTAAAATCAAAAAAAAAAAAACTTCGATAATTTTGTTTTTGATTTATTAACTTTGTTTTAATTTTAAAAATTTGATGACAAAAATTATTTGAAATTTATTTTAATGCAAATTATCAAATGAAGTGTAAATTTCACAATTATTGTAATTGAAGAAGTATCAGTAACATTGGTTATTAATAGTTTACGATATTTTATGAACTCCGAAAATGCAATAACAGCAAATCATTCGTCATTAAAATGATGCAATTAAAGTGATTGTTTGAACTGCGCCATGCTCATTTGTAAAAATTATCCTTTTAGCGAGACTTTTTTTTTAAAACAAAGTCTATCTCTCTTCCACAAATCTATCATTTATTTTGCACTTAAAAAAGAAATTATTTTGCAAATTTTCTTCTCCTTTAAATTATAGGTCACGAAAAAAACTCTTTTAATGAAATTTTTCAAATGTTTGCTAGCGCACACTGCTCTAATTTGTACGGATACGATGGCAATTTTAATTCTTTAATAATTAATCTTTGGCACTTTTTTGGGTGATTTAATATAAATCAAAGTTTTGAAATGTCT